TTCACAAGCGAACAACTTGTGTTGGATTGAGTTCATGTTTGAAGACTCAGAGAGTCGACCGTGCTTTTCTTTCGGGTCCAAAGCACTGGAATCATGTTTGGCTTCTGTTGCGATCGTATTTATTACGTGTTTTTATGATCCAATGTTAAGTTTACTTGGACATTTCCTACTGCCAAATAAAAGGTTGCATTTCTGAACAATTTTCGAATTATGTGGGATGAAGGTACAAACTGCCAGGTGATTGTGCAATATTGAATGTTTGTCGTGGGATGGTATGCCCAGATATGCCACAATTTAATTGTAGAAGAAACTTCGATCCTATATCAAACGGTACCAGGGTGTTCCTCGATGACATCAATTTTCGAGGACCATCGCGCAATGGATCTCTATGGCTAGCATCATGACGATGGGATTGAGTGAACCAGTTGTATACAGTGGCAAGACATAGTACTTCCTTTCCATACCCCAACTTAGGTCAGAAGTAATACTCTTGAGTAGAGACCTTTCTTTGAAAACTTATTGAAAATTAACTTTTTTGTAAATTTCATTTTTTCGCGAAATCGACTTTTTCTTCTTACGCCGTAGCCACATCACAAATCTGAAAACCGTTCTGTAAAAGCTATTGTTAATAAAAAATGTCAAGCTTTACGAATATGACAATGTTTTACATCTGAAAGGCCAGAAATAACATATTATTCGGACTTCGGAGGAGCAACCCTCGTACATAGCAATTATATTATTATTGGTATTATTAGCAATTTTTATTGTATGCACTGAGGAGATTGGCCTGGAACGAATTTAGACTGCCAAAATACGAACACAAACTACTATTTCTTCAAATGATTACTCTTGAGGAGAGACGCAAGATGGCGCAAGTGTCTTTTATTTTCAAAATTATTCACGGAGATTTAAAGTCAACTTATGTTTCAAACAGTATGAAATATTATGATTCAGCACATGATACCAGCAATACCACTATTTAATTTACCAATTAGGAGAATTGATTACACAAAATATGAACCAATAAATTATATGCTTACATCATTCAACGATTTTTATACCAAAAAACAGTGATAAAAATTTAATTGATTTGTGAGCAATTGTGCTATGCATTCCCCTAAATTTAGACATGCATATGCAATCATTGCTTCAATATAACTTATACTTAAATCTTCTTTACCATTTATCAATATTACGTGAGCTTTCAAAACAATCAATACTTAAATACTCTTTTAACGGAAAACATTGTACTCTTTATAATAAGATCAAATAATAATTCCAATTCTCTTTTATTCTTTGTGTCCGAAGGTCGAAAATTAGTCGAATTTGCTAGGGTTTTTTGATTCTTAAAGTAAAGACCTTTTTTTTTAGCTCTTCACTTTGTTTGGCTGAGAAAATTCTTCCGATTTGCTAGGGATTTTCGCGTCAAAAAGTGACTTCCAAAAAAAAAAAAAAACGATTTTATTGTAATTCCTGAGGTTTTGCGCAGAGAAAATTCTTTCGATTTGCTAGGGACTCTCGCCAAAAAAGTGAAAAGCAAAAAAAAAAAAACGAAATTTTTTTTTTAATTTTTTTTTTTTTTAAAAATCGACCCCCCCCCCCCTCGTAAAATGTAGCTCGCACATTACTGACCTAGACAATAAACAGGTTTAACAAAAAGGACAAAAACGGACAAGTTTAACAATATGCAATATGAACAATAAAACGCATAGTAGACAAGCGAAACCGCACAAATGGTTACGCACATTACATGGACAAAAGGAATTGTCTTCTGTCTTTGATTTATTGATTGTGCACGTGCAAATCCGAACCATGCTGACTCCTCAAATACGATCCATGCTAACTTGTCGGACTTTTTAAAGCAATTGAATTGAATTCTGACGCAACTTTTTGTTGTGCTGATCCCAATTTTACCAATGTTCTTTATCCCCACTCTTATTATCGGTATTTCCTTTGATCAAATCATATATAAGACCATAGGTTAACAAGGCTAATCGGGTTAGTCTGCTAACCGAGACCGATATACCAAGTTGTAATTCTTTGCAAATACTATAGAAGCTAGGTGAAAACCCAATTGTAAAATAGAGTTAAATAGAAAATAACCGAGGCCAAAATACTAAGTTGTAATTTATTACAAATACTATGTACAAAAACGTAGATTAAAACTGAAAAATATATCAGATTTAGTCTACAGACTTAGAGGTAAATTTATCGACGGTCAAACTAAGAATAGAGAATTATTTAAAGCAAAACAGATAAATACAAAATATTTGTTATGGATTGTAGAAATTTTGAGCAGTTGGAGAATTGAATCACTTAGAATAAATCAACATTACTAGATAAATGTCTTCAAATGCGTTACTGAAAAAAGTCAGTCAGCAAAAGCGTTATAAAATATATGGACGATGTCACGCTTTTGTTGGCGAACTTTTTTGTATAACGCGTCTCATACAGTTTTTGACACTATTGCTGACGTCCTTTTTTATATAACGCATTTGAAGACATTTATCTAGTAATGCTGATTTATTCTAGGCGGTTCAATTGATTTATGAAATTAATATATATTATTAACATGAAAGGAAAGAAACAATAATTTTTCATATTCTCTCTCAAAAATGCTTGATAAAAATCAAATTGTATTATATTATATTTATTTAATTAAATTATTTTCAATAAACCACCAAGGCGAAGGAACATATTATAACATAAAAATTCTTCACAAGTCAACATAAAAAATACGTGTTCTTCCTTGATAAGAAATAAGTTCACCGAGTATATGTCTACTGTATCCAAAATGCGATATTCGATATTGTCCCGGTTCCGTATGCTTTGGTATATTCCAATAAATTTCCATTATACTATGGCCGAGAATAAATGATGTACGCTTCCAAATGAACCTGAAAATTATGAGAACACCTTTTCATTATCAAATTATTTCACTTGATCATTTTTAAACACAGAGTGTCCACTGACCACGAAGTGCATATATTTTTCTTACAGGTTCCTTCGACTGGCGAGTAAAAAATTGAATAAACACTTACCCCCTTCGGAGCTCTAGGGGATAGACACCAATTCAAAATGAAAAATCTATATTAAAATACTCAATTGTATAATTTCATTGATTCCAACGATTCCATTAGAATTATAATAAAAAACACAAAACTCACAAATCCGAAGAATCCGAAGGATCCGAAGAATCTCATGAATCATTGGGACTTTGACAAAGTCACTTTGTCAATTATATAAAATGTGTTGATTGTTGAGTTAAATTTTATTCCATTGTTAAAAGTCGGTAAAAATGAAATCATAGCATAAACAAAAATAATTGAATTTTATTTTAATTTATATTTGCTAGCATATTTATTTTCTATAAAATCAACATATACATTTGTAGGTCAAAAGAAAAAACACAAAAATATTTAATGAATCTGTGGATCTTTACGAATCTGTGAATCTGTGCAAATCATTGGAATCATAGCAATTTAAATCAAAAATTTGAATCGAATGTGAATCTTTGTAAAATTTTGTAATCATACTAATCGTACAAATCCGACACAAAAGGTGAATGGATTCGCGGGTGTCTCCCCCCTAGTCGGAGCTTCGTTGTGGAGTTATCGCCCAATGAACAAATCTCAGTACCTGGACCCTATTTGTGATAGTCTCAAACCGCTGACTTTGACTATATAACTTATCCGAATACTGAGATTTGTTACCCAAAAGGTAACTAACAATGGGTGGTAACTAAACAACGTGTCAATTTATTTTTTACTCGCCAGGTACCGTTTAAAATTGTTTTGGGAAACAGAATTACACTGCGTTCGAAAATTTGAAAGAAAGTAGGTGCGAGACCAATGACAAAGTGGGTGTGATCCATTGGTCCACTGATTACGACGTTATGTTTGGTTTCTCTAACACGTGTCCCACTCAAACTGGCTCAAATTTGAACGTCCGTCATTCGAACAACAAACCCTTACAATATTAAATTGTTATAACAATATTAAATTGTTATAACGTCTTTATTGTTATAAACTTTTAGTCATAGACTATCGAATAGCACATTTGCACTACACTCAATCTACCATTGTCTTCGATTTTTCTTAGTATGTGTCGAACCTTCAAAATCATGCTCTGGACAACTGATTTGTCGATTTCTTTCAACTTTCTCTCAAATCTTCCAACCAGTTGTTGCTCGTTTCAAGTATTTTGGACCTTCGTCTATAACAAAAGACAACGAAACAAACACAAAACAAAACGAGAACAGTTCAAATACAGATGAAAAGAAAGAAGATGATGAAGAAAAAATGAAAAAGAAAGAAAGAAACAAGCGGACAAATGAACGAAAGAAGAAGAAAAAGCAACAAAAACAAGAACAAAAGAAACACGAGAAACAACAACATGAAAAAAAAGAGCAAAACCAGCAAAAACAACAACAAGACACAAAAACACAGCACCAGCAGCAACAAAATCTACAAAATCAGCAGCATAATCGTCTAGAATCAAGAAATGATCATGCACAAACACACAGTTATCCATTCAGACGTTCATTTCAAAGCAAGAATTGGGTAACTGAGCGTCGACGAGGCCATTGGAATGATGGTTTCAATAACCAACGCCATTTTAAGGATGTTTCGCCGAGAGATAGACCGCATTTTGATGATTGTGATTGCCGCTCGTGTTTTATTGAATTCGAGAAAATTCGTGTTTTGCGGATTTTCAACGTGTTCGGAGGGGTCTTCGGCCGCCGGCTCAGCGCTGGCAAACCAGAAACCAGTATTAGATGCCACAACAGACTCGGCTGTAAATTTTTCATCGATGGTAATCAAGAGAGGTAATTCAGAAATAAGTACTTCACACAATTTAAACGATGAAAGATATTCAAGACAGCTTACTATCCATTCGCAAAATGTAAATGGATTGAAAACAAAAATACCTGAGTTTGTGGCGGAAGTTCTTGTACAACATTCACCAATTTACATGCTGCGGGAGACTCATCTGAATAGCGCCATCAATTCAACAGACTTGTTTCCGCAGGTCTACGAAGTATATCGTTGTGATCGGTCACCAAACACCGAGAAAGACCAAGTTCATCGCAAGGAGAATGGAGGAGGAGTCTTGATTGCTGTTGACAACAAGCTAAAGTCGGTTTGCATTGGGACGGGTGACCTGTTCGGTGCGGAACAGATTTGGGTGAAGGTAGTTGGCCACAAAAGGAACATCTATTTGGTAGAATTATATATTCGACCAGATTCAACACTCAAGGTATACGAAAACAACATGAATGCCTTGAGAGAAATCGCATCGAAGTTGAGTATAAATGATGTTTTAGTAGTTTCCGGCGACTTCAATCTACCCAATTTGATTTGGTTTGTTGACGAAGATGAGGACCCTGACATAGCAATAGCGATCAATGCAGCCAGTGAAAAAGAGAAGATAGTGCTGGATACTTGCTATGATCTTGGTCTCCTCCAGATAAACAAGTGCTACAACCAAAATGGTCGTATGCTCGACTTGATCTGGACAAATGATGTTGAGCTGTTCCAGTGTTACATGAGTGATTATCATTTGTTAAATTTTGAGAAGCACCACAATGCAATCAATATTCGATATAATGAACCCGTCATCAAAACTGTTGAAACTAAGCAAACATATAGAGACTACATAAATGCTGACTATAAACTAATAAATGAGTCACTCCTTGATGTTGACTGGAATAAAGAATTCGATAAAAATTCATTAGAATTAAAACTAGACAATTTCTATACAATTGTAAAGTCAACAATCGAAACTCATGTCCAGTTAAAAACAAAAATCACCAGGAAGCAACCGATATGGTTTAATAGGCCACTAATCGAGTTGAAAAACAAAATCAGCAAAGCTCATCGGATTAAAAATAAGGTCAACACAATCGAATCAGTAGAAAATTTTAAACAATTAAGAAGAGAATATAAACACAGTGCACGGTCAGCACTCAATGATTACAGAAATGAGATGGAGAATC